ATGAAAAATATATTGACAGCAAAACTTGAGATGCTGCACCAGAGAAGACGTTTATGTTAATCGAATCTCGACGTAGTTTGTTACATCCGAGCCGTAAGCTTTGCCAATTGATGTACCGGACAAAAAGCAAAGTATGTGTACAGTTAACAAACCCAAACATGGGTGTTTATTTTTCAATAATGGATATAATATTAAATTAGTGTTTTGTTACATCGATGATAGGATGCGACAAAGCTCTTTACAAATCATACTTGACTTTTCTGTTACCTGTCGGTTGCATTTTTTCACTCGAACGATTAATCAATCATTTATTTCATCAGTTGAAAATAAAAAAACACAGAAAAATTTCTTATTTAAAGTAAATTTAATTAGCGCAAATAATGATGATAATTATTATGTATAATATAATGTTATATAATATAATTTGTTTGTACATATAATACATTTGTAATGTGCAGTAGTACCCCAACTTACGCTACCCCGACTTACGCAAACCCGGAGTTACACGATTTTCAAATCTCGTCGATTCGTCTTTTGTTTGAGCGCCACGCAACTCTTAATTACTCATTTCCCCCCACACTATTGTTCGGCTTACATGTTCGGATGTGTCGCGCTGAATCCACACATAGCTACAATTTATTTTGTGTTATTTATTTCTGTGTTTGTTATATCTACGGAGACTCGAGAGACTCTACTATGTCATCCAAACGAAATAAAACTAATTCTTCCGCATCAAACAAGAAAAGATAAACATTATCTTTGGAATGTAAAGTTAGCATTGGGTATGTTTGTAAAGTCGAACGAGTTAAATGAGAATGAAATTGTTATTCCTATTTCGTTAGGCTTTTCGAACGATTCGTTACTAACGAGTTTAACTCGTTTGACTTTACGAACATATCCATTATTAAAGACATCGATACAAAAATGAAAATTTGTGAATTGGCAAAGAAGTTTGATCTACCGGAATTGTCTGTCAGAACAATTATAAAAGGCAAAGAAAAAATTCTCAAAGCTGTGAAAATGCTAAATCTTTAAATTCGAGCATCATTCGTAAACGTCACAGTATTATCGCTGAGATGGAAACGATGTTAAAATTATGGCGTAATAATCGAGTAAATGTGAAAAATTGTAAAATAATAATAGGCCTAATTTGTTATACATATGTATTATCTAAGATTTTATTAAACATTCTTTTCTAAATTATTGTTTTCTTTAGTCTCCGGCCCCAATTAAAAAATATTTGTATGTATTTATATGCGAAACTAGCTGTTACCCGCGACTTCGTCAGCGGAGGTTTTGCAAGCAAACCCCATTTACATCCAATATTTCAATAACCATAGTAATTGTTATATAACACCTACCGCTGAAGAGAATTGCCGAAAATCAAACGAACTATTTTCAATTTGATCAATTTTCTGAAACGTTTACAATCGTTCTATAATCGAACCAATACGCAATAACAAATTCGAATTTAAAAC